CTATTACTGGTATATTTACAACAATACTCATAAACACAGGCGGATCTGCGTGGGGGAGAGAGAGCTTTCGGGCTGAAGTCCCTTCAAAAAGATAAAATGTAACCATGTTTTATAGAAAAAATATTAAAAAATTATCTTTTAAGTATTATTTTTCGTGTAATTACATTTAATAGGACTTCAAAAATCACTTAAACACCATTTCATATAGGTAGTTTGTATCTTTCTTTTTTTTTTCAAAAATAATTATCGTTATATATGTGAAAAAAAAAACCTTTCGGGCTGAAGCCCCCCCAAATTAAATCCTAAATCCGCTAGTGTTCATAAACACCTATTTGCTTTTCTTAATCGTAAAATAATTTGATCACAAAATCGAGAAAAATTGTGGCCTATTAAAAGATTGGGCCGTTTGGTTAAACCTCAAATCCCGACATATCAAATTAACAAGGTTGTCTAGGCCAAACGGTCCAATTTGGAATACGGAATAATAATGAGTTTTATTGAAGATATGGGTTAAAATATCTCAGAAACTAAACGTCGCCCCTGCAAACTGTAAGCGAGGAAAAGTTTAGCATTTTATCCATCATATTATACCTATCATTAGCTTAGCTCATTGAGCTATCATTTATAATTTATATTTCATATTATTAATTTTTGTACATAATATAATCTCTCAAGACTTTTTTGGGTCCATATCCCCCCAACCAAATTGGAAAGTTGAGCCTATGCTCAATATATTCAAATAAGTCTCAGTATAGCGTTGTAGATTAGTGACTTGTTTCGTAGCTTAAGTGAGAATTTGAAGTACAGAACATTGGACGGTTGTATGGACTTGTCAATGCTTGTTTTTTTTTTATCTTTGTTTTTATTGGGTTGGCAAATAAGTCCTTTCGGTTTTTCTGTTTATATTTATGTCACTATGATATACTCCTTAACTGATGTATTAATCCCTAAGGCGGGTTGTTTATCCTGTTTGTAATATGTCAACAATTACATCCCGTTAACTCTTGTTGAAACTAGCTTGGTATCGTGTTTGGTATTCCTTTGTGAATATGGAAGAAAATATCATTCATTATCAACATATTTTGTTGTATTATTTTAAAAAAGATATGAAAAGAAATGGAATGGAAAGATATTCCAAAAGGAAGAGGACATAAACCACTTGGATCAGTTTTTGACAATAAACTCCAGACATTCTATGAATATGGCATTATGCAGTTAGTGTAAAATAAATAAATTGTATGTCTATAATACGTTGAGTTTTATTTCACCCTGAAAAACCGAAAGGACTTATTTGACAACCCAATGCTCGAAATGAGTCTATTGTATTGGTATAGTGTGAGATTTTGTCTCAAACAGTATGTTGTTATTAAATGGCATTTAATGAAGGCAGAAAAGGATTTAAAATAAAAGTTTTTAAAAAAAGGACATTTTTCTGCAACTTAAAACTAAGGAACGTTTAAGAGGTTTCGATTATCGGTTTTCATTTACGTACCATCATCTCGTTACATAACTGCTGATAATCGTCTGCGGTTAACTTCTTATAAGTTAATTAACTCCTAGAAATTATATAATCGGGAATATAATTGCATTTATTTGTTTCCAATCGATCTAGTTTTTTAAACGAGGATCTAAAACGAGTAACTAGAATGACATTTGTATATTTTATTAGTATCATTAAATTATTTTTAAATAACAAAAAAAGGGTTTTTTTCTGGAGGGGGAGAAAATCGATTAGTTTCATATAATCTTATTAAATATTAAGGAAACTTCTCACTATTATTACTGTATTCAGCATCAGAGGTTAGTCAGGGTCTTAACTTGTGAGTACCTTTCATGATGGTCAATATTATCAGACCATATTTTTTTTTTAATGAAAACTTTTTTCGGCTCGTTTTGCACTTTTTTATGGAGAGTTAATTAGGTTGAGGCGTCAGATTTACAGTGTATAACGCTCGGGTGAAGTCAACGGGGATCGACTAATTGATGTGTTTTTGTATATGGATTAAAATATCTCAAAATCTAACTATCAGACCTGCATATTGTTAGCGAGGGAATATTTATTCATCATTTCATCATCTTTGAAATGATCTATTCTTCAAAACTGCATCTTAATTCATAGCCATGTTAGAGAGGCGAAAAGAGAAAAAATAGTGTATCAAATAGTGTGTAATAATCTCAAAAACTAAAATTTGGACCTGCGTACTGTAAGCGAGAGAATTGTTTTGCATTTCAAATTCTCTGTGATGGGCTATTATTCAACATTGTATCTTAAGGCGACGCTGTGTTAAGGAGGCGAAAAGTAAAAAATAGTGTCGAAAACGAAATAATAACGACCGTTAATAATAACGAATTTTCCGGTTGAAGCCCACCAAAATGGTAAAATGTTTTATGGAATTTATGTTTTATGAAAAAATATTTAAAAAATTATCTCTTAAAATTGTTCGTGTAATTACATTTAATAGAACAAGAATCTCTTAAACACCCTTTCATGTAGATAGTTGGTTTATATTTTTTTTCCAAAATAATTATCGTTATATATATATATATATATATATATATATATATATAAACCTTTCGGGGTGAAGTCCGCCAAAATTAAATCCTGGATCCGCTAGTGCTCATAAACACCTATTTGCTTTTCACTTGAAGCGTAAGATAATTCTATCACAAAATCGAGAAAAATTGTGACATATCAAATTAACAAGGCTGTATAGATCAGACGGTCCAATACGGAATAATTTGTTTTATTGAAGATATGGTTTAAAATATCTCAAAAACTAAAAATCGGATATGCAAACTGTAAGCGAGGAAAACTTTAGCATTTCATCCATCATATAGCTATCATTAGCTTAGCTCATTGAGCTATCATTTATAATTTATATTTCATATTATTAAACTCGCCTTGATGTTTTCACTTCTACCGTGTAGTCTAAAGCACAAACCTATATATATATATATATATATATATATATATATATATATATATATATATATATATATATATATATATATTTAACTAGGTGGGCGATGGAGTCATTACCCACTTGCCGCCTACCTGCACCGATCTCCTTGAAGGATGAATGTGAAATTCTGCCAATCATGTATGCTGGCCTTCCAAGATAATGTATTCGCGGCTATATTTAGACCCCGCGGGTCAAAGAATCCACGCCGTCCGTCTGTCGCTACTGCTTCTATGCAAATGGGTCCAACAGGTTTATCGGAGGCCGATTGAATCACTCCGTTTGGGTTCGACTTTAATAACTGAATTTTGGGAATTATTAAAAAGCCTGTCAAAGGTTACTTTGCTTGTGAGCTTCCCAGGTTGAATTTTTTTTTAAATATTTACACTATATGTAATAAGCTAGAACCGATCCCTTTTCCACCGATGGATTTTAATCAATGAGGTATCAAATGAAAGATAATTTCATGGAGTAGTGACCCATCCCGATTTTAATCCTTAAATTTCTAATAAATCATTAATAAAATTAACTAGTTATTATAGTAACTAGTTGCCGGTTTTCCGCCAATTTTATGTATTTTCTAAATAACTGCTTTATATATTTTTAAAATTAATTGTTGTTTTAGAAAGAGAAATGTATTCTCCACATGTTTTATTTCAGAACGTTTTTCGTTATTGTTGGCCATTCATTTACAAACGAAGCTTGATTTTCAACTTTAGTTTGAACGACTTGAAAAAATTTAATTTACTGGGTTTTTTTATTTAAATTAAGCTAAAGGCTGAATGTCAGTGATAAATCAAGTGAAAGACGTCATTTTGGAACAGTGCGGCCAATTTTTTTTGTGGTGACATTAGCTTTTTTTTAATTAGTAGTTACAAGGAACACAACTATATGCAATTTTATGGGATTTTGTGGAATTGTGACATTTTTATATGTATATGAAATATTATATTATATATGTGTACGAAAAAAGGGAGCAACATCCCCTCAAACAAGCTGCACTAAAAATATTCAGGAGGACCTTTCTATAAATAGGGCTACTATACGAAAAAGGTGGAATGATGCCCATCCACATAATAATCCTGAAGACGATTATTATAAGTTGAGCTGGAAAGAGCAAGTTTTACTCTTCAGACTCAGGACTTGAGAACAGGACACAAAAGGATGAGGACACGCCTTTATGAAAAATTTAAAGCTACCAGAATAAAGATTCTGAGCTGGAGGACAACAGAATGCTAATTTGACCAAACCCCACTGACTTGGCGATGAAGCTCTACGGTGGTCTGGATGATCTCAGAAAGATTGTCGAGTTTATAATCTCAATCTCGGATCTCGCCATTTCAGATAAGTTCGAAGAAGCAAAAGAAAATATTTAAATTGTATTCCGCTAAGGCGCTATTTCCGTTTTCTGCTTTCTGCTTTTATCTTGTATTGTAGAAGCTTAATGGATTTAATTGTTATTCCATTCGGTTATGACAGCTGCATTCACAGCTAAGTATCGCAATTTTCATGTTGCATAAAAAAAATGACATATTACATCAGCAATCGTTTTTCTCTTTTATTGTTCGACTGTCATATTTATTTAAATTAATTTTTATTTTACTTCTTTTTTTGTGTTTTTTTCTTTAGATTTAAATATACATTTATTAATAATATTAAGTTTCTTATTTTCAATGCTTAATATAGTGTTGTCCGAAATCGGTCTTGGTTTCGGACTTTGCAAGACCAAGACCAAGACTTTAAGGCAAAATAGTTTCTAACACTTGACTTTTTTAGTTATTATATGTAAAGAATTGTATATACTTTCGCAATATTTTTCATTCGGTCTTAGGTTTATCTTATCTGAAAATACAATAACAATACAGTAATATCTCTATAGAAACAAGCTAATATGTAATTGCGAAATTCTTGCGCAAGATCAAGACCAAGACTGAGTGCGCAAGACCAAGACTCTTCTTGGTCTCGCATTTGGACAACACTAGATTAATATATTTGACTTAGTTATTTTGGTTTATTTATTTTTATTTTTATTTTTTGTAGAAGTGTGGCAAGATGAGGAGAAGCGGTGCCCCTTCCACCATGGGCTCCCACCATCCTTTCAACTTCTTTGTACACAGGTAAGTCACAATAAAATAATAATATGAATAATACTTAATAAACTTGTTTAATATCAAACAACAAAAAAGAAAAGTTTTTGAATTGTAAACTCAATTTTTCCACTTGAAATCCACTGGAAGTGGATAACTGAATATTATTTCATCTCTTAAGACTGAAAATAGTATAAATTGAAAGGACTGGTAACTTTATATATCCAGGAGGCCTCTGTGTTGAAATGTTATGTTTTATCCCCACAAAAGGGATGACATTAAAAGATGCTACGTTTTGGGGTGTTTGAAATTTATTCGGGATGCCACTGGATAATTATTGATGATAATTACCCAGAAATGTTTAATAAAAATTAATAATAAAATATTAGATAAACAAATTTGGATCTATAATATATTTGTTGGTCCAGGATTAATTAATTAGATTTCTTTTCTCAAATGCTGGTTTGTGTTTATCATGCTTTCTAATTACCAACATTACCTGTTTATTTATAATCATGATATAAATAGATGGCAGAATTAAAATAACTTTTACTAAAAAACTTAATTTATTACTGTGTTTAATAAAGAATTATATACAAATAACATAGAAATCTCAATGTTCAAATACTATATACTAGTAGGCCCGTGCGAAAAATTCGCACAGCATATTATTATCAAATGCCAGATTAATAATAAAAGAAAATAATGCAACGTATCAAAAGATAAAGAAATCAAATGTTACTTTATCGATAAATATAATCGACAAAGAAAACAAAAATTAATTTAAATCTTCATTTTTGTTTGGAACCAACATGTTTACAAATTTCAGTAAGCTGTATCTTTGCTAAAAATTGTCCGATTTCAATGATTTTTTTTTTCCTTTTTATAGGAAATTAAGTAATCTTTTGTATAATCACGGGCATAACCGAGGGAAAAGTGTGTAATTTTTTAGTTATTCGCAAATAAGGTTTGTTTTATTCTATAACTTGTTTGCCTGAATTTTCGGAATGTTTGGACTATTTTGTCCGCCTGAAGGAGAAGGAAGCCTTCGAAATTGGTGGCTCAATTTTGAGATTTGGTGAAAAATTGACGATGATATGCCTTGCCAATCAAAAACTCCATCGATAAATAATATAAACTCCTCCTCTCTCGATCACAGAGACCTCAAGTCGACGAAATGAGACATGTATTCAATGACAGTACTACAATTAATGCGTTATCTCGAAAATAGTACGTATTTGGGCTTAAAAACGCAGGATCCGATAGTTCCGGAGGAACTATCCGGGTCTTGCTGTACGCATCAAAATATTCTAGATGCATTTTGTCCCGTATCGATCTACAGACCTACCACCGTTCCAGTATTGAAGCGTAGCAAAATGTTTGTATCGACTTTATTTATTTTAGAAAAAAAAAACAAAAGTGGAGAATATGATTCGCTAATCCCCCGTGAAATTCTGAATCCAACGGTACCCCATTCATGGTATTTGAGCATGACAGGAGCTTATATTAGGTACAAAACCGATTTCGAGCCTTACTGTAATAATATGTAATATAAGTTAAATACATGGTTCGAAGAATTTAATAATTAACTGTTACTTCAGATGGACTGTTTTGAGAGTTGTATGGCCATGAAATATTCTAACATTGATAAATTTATTTTTGGGAATAACACTTATCTATTTTATATGAAGTGGTGCAGTTGATAGATTTCATCGCTGCATCTGCTAATCCGAGATCATCTCGTAATGGTTCAAAGCTCTGCCAGCATCATCATGGTCTATGTAGGGCCAATGCTTCAGTCCCCAAGCCGGAAGAAAACTTCTAACCTATCCTCAAGACTAGAAACCAGCATAAGACCTCTTTCCTTACTCCTCGGCGTATTATATACAAATATTCAGGGTGGGGCAAGGATCGTTCTCATTAGTTCTTAACTTCACAATAGCTGGTAACCCTAAAAGGAACCAGTTACATAGCCCGTTACTAGTTTTTATTCTAAACCTTCCTCAGGGTTCAGGTCGGTCCTTGCAGGTACCTGATGTGTTTAATGTCAGGATATTCCAACTTGTTATCGACACGAAATAATAATTTTTCAAAACTTATTAGCTATATTCAATACATAGCATAATATATAAGCTCACAACCTATGTGGGGTCTCTATCTATCTTCACATGTCCGCCATTTTGTATTCCAGCGGCTATATGCTGGCAGACGTGCATTTTTCTCATCAGGCCTGTGAATATGGTCAATTTATAAGGACAAACCTTAGTATGAAATACGACACATTTTTTACCACGGGCCCAGGACTACCTTAAATGTTTTTGCGGATTCAGTTTCAAGAACCTTCACGTTGAATTTTCAGTCGTTGAAAAATCGGTAAGATAAATTTATCTGCTTCTATAATGTTACAGTGCAAAGAAGTAAGAAAAAAAATATAGATTGCCCGAAGGGAGGATGTGAAATCAGTCACGTTTTTCTTCTCTCTGCGCTCAACTAAATTATTATTACTCGAGACCTCCGGGGTTAAGTGAGCTAGTGAGCTCTCAAATCATTCTATAGCTCTCTTATCTCCATTCCGTCCCTATTGAACTAACCATTTAATAATCACCTTTCAATTTGTGAAAAATGGTCTTTGTAGAACATCTTATAATATAATACGACAGTTTTTTTTTCCTTTTCCGGCCCTCAGGGGCCATGTATTTTAATTAATGAGGTATCAAACGAAAGGTTATTAAATGGAGCAGTGACGAACCACAGTGACATCCACCCGAAATTTCAGAGAAAAGGTAATGAATGAAAAGAAAATTTATTTGCGAATTACTTAAAAATTATACAAATTTTTATTGATTCGACCCACTATTATTTGAAAATTTACTAAATTATCTACAAAACGAAGAAAAGAAATCATGAAAATCAATTAAAAATTCGCAAATTAAAAATAATTTGAACTGATCCTAGGAGAAAAGTGCGTTTAAATATTTTCATAAGGAGAAACTAAGTTGAGATTTGTATTTCGGAACTCGAAAGACTCTCGAATACGAATTTTCGTTGAGATCGAAAAAAAAAAATTTTCTACAGATTTGGCCTAAGGCAACCAATCCCCTTTTTTCGAAAATCACAAAAAGTGTGATAACTTTAATACACCGCCTATTCACACGAAATTTTGCAGGGGCCTTATAAACTACACGAAATGACACGAACTATATTCCTCTAAATAATTTAGAACTCAAGCTAAAAAATAAAAACCTTTATAGACTCTTTTTAAAACTTTATAATAAAAAACTTTTAACTCTTTATAGACGTGTTAAATCAAAAAGTTATTTATACGGTCTTGAAGAGCGATAATGCAGCTTTCCAACGGTTGTAGAAACATTGAATTTGGATGAAACATTATTTTCAATAATGAACCATTGTAATAGAAGTTTTACGTTTCAGGATACGTAGAATTCGAAAAACGAATAAAAATGTTTTTGTCCGTCCGCCGTCCGCGCATTTCCTCCGAAATACTGTACCGATTTCTTTCAAATTTGGATTTAAAGTCAGAGATCACCCGAGGATGTTCCTCCTACATCGGCGTTACTAACAGCCTTTTCCTCTCAAGATGATGGCCAAAAAACCTGTGTTGCTATTGACTGTTATTGCGCCTAAACGAATGTACCGATTTCAATGAAACTTCGCTAAAGTCTTCTTCTCGATGCCCTTTAAATTTATCTATATAACATAATTCAACAAAAAGAAGCTGGAAAAAAAGTTACGAGAGGTGATAAAATTATATTCCGAGTAACTCAAAAAGTATATACTTTTTTGTTAATAGTGTGATTAGATGTTTCAAAGGTATTTAAATTTCCTAAAAAAATTAAGAAAATTTCACCGAAATTGGAACACTATAAGTAAAGATATCGCGATTTTAAAATATTTTTGGTTTATTATTTTCTATAATGAACCATTGTAACCGACCAAAAAATTCAAAAACTTAACTCCCCCTTCAAAATTTGAGGTTTTGCGTTTCAGGTTACGTAGAATTCGAACGAATAAAAGTTCTCCCCCCCCCCTGTTTTTAATCTAAACAAATACGTTATATTTTATATGAAAATAAAGCGTTTCTCACAATTGTATTTTTATTTTGGTATTTTCAAGTATATATAAGAAGTAAACAAAAAAAAAAAAGAAAATCCTTACAACTATACAAACATGTAAACAATTTAATTTTAAATTTGTTTAAAATCTTTTTAAATTTTAAGTTCAAGATTCAATATTATATTTGTTCGTTTCACAATCATATTGAATTTTTACACACAGTAAAAACTACCGCCATTTTCTTTTATTTTTTTTCTGTCCATTGCCTTCTCAATCATAATCGAAAACTTGCGCCTATGCCTGAGACACTCTGTATATTGTCTTTTTTAGTAATTTGATTTATTTTAGTAAAGTAATGGATGATACGACGATGGACTGCTTTTGTCTATGCACCAAATAATGTTTTAGTACTCTAGCCAAATACTACAATTAGATGGTACGTTTCAGGTCAGTTATACAGAAGTGATTAAATGTAGCTAGTTCGTGGTTTATCGCCAACGGTACATAAACATGCTAGTTATATAAAACAATTATATCAGTCATTTTTGGTTTTTGTAATAGCTATAACAGTACCCTTGTGTTAACTTGTTTGTGTGTATATTGCGTATTGCTTTTTAAAATATACCTATGAGAGAAGTCTGTAACAAGTGGGGGCCACCATATATCACTGACGTCACTGTTATGCAATTAATGTAAATAATAGGTATGTTATGTTAAACATGTCACATATCAGATTTGCGATTCAAGATTAGTTAAAACAACAATAATTAATGAAAATATCTTTAGGATTTCCATTCTGTAATCTAAATATAAATACTATTGAAAATCAATGTAACGAGTTGTCAGGATGAATGAAGAATAACTTTAGGTTTTTTTTTATGAGAGTTCGAAAAAATATGCATAGGATTTATACAAAAAATATTACATAAGATTAAAAATTACTGAATGAAAAAATTATGATTATACATGCCTATCCAACGGGGTGCCCAGAATGGGGTTTCATAACGCAAGTTGCACCATCAAAATTGTTGAGGGGGGCACATTTTAACGGGATTTTGAGTTTTTGAGGAAGGCATATTTCGACGGATTTATGAATTTTTGCATTGAAAAGTTTCAAACAAGAGGACAAGTCATTTAAGCCCTGTTAGAGAACATCAATCAGAATATAAACTATATTAAACTTTTAACACTAATATGATGAATTTATTCATCAAAATCGTTAAAGCCGTTTTCGAGAAAATCATAAAAATGTGTTTGGTCCATCATATAAAGTGCCACTTCTTGTTAGCCGATTTTGAGAAAAAAGTTGCTGTAACATCTCTAAAAATAGTCACTCTCTAGAATAGCCAACTATTTAAAAGGATGAATTTAACAAACTTAGGAATAAATTAATTATTTATTATGAGAATAATCTTTCACCGCTTTTGCATACAACGGTCCATGACAATCACGTTATTATCCATTGTTTTATGCGATACTCTTTCTTCTCTTCATACATACAACAAACATATTTCAACCATTCGAGTTGTGACATGAGATGAGACTTAACAATTGACTGTTTGTTAACGTACAGGTGAAAGAGGGCTAATTAGGAGCTGGGCTTGGGATGCTGCGACGGCTGGTGAGCCTCACCCTGGCCGCCACCATCTGCCTGGCAGCAGTCAGGAAGAACCTCACCGTCGGCTACCTCACTGCTATCAAAGGCACCCTCAAGGACCGCCAAGGGCTCGCCATCTCCGGGGCCATAGCCTTCGCCCTCTGGGAGGTATTCACTCTTCATTAATGTTCATTTACAATTATAATATAAAAGAAATGGTAAAGGTCTTGCAATTTAGCTAATCTTGGATAGGATTTTCAACCCTACATACTTCAAATAATTGCTTCTTATCAATACTGTTATTATTGTATCGTACACTTGCAATAGGTCACTAAGGCTGGTGTTGTAGGTGAACAACAATTCTACTTTACTACCAAATGTCACTCTCGACATGAAATGGGTCGACACCAGGGGGGAGACTGTTGCCACAACGCGGGCTGTAACTGACATGATCTGTGATGGCGTTTATGCCTTTTTCGGCCCGGAGGAATCCTGTCATGTGGAGTCCATCATAGCTCAAGCCAGGAACATACCGATGATCAGCTATGTGAGTAGAATTAAAATAATGAGTTTGTATATTTATATTTACTTTTTATGTTTCTTTTTTTTTTTTTTTTTTTTATTACTTTCTTTATTGAATATTAATACATTCTGCCACATTGAAGGGCATTGATATTAAGGCTACATGATTCATTTACACAATATGTACATACAATTAATATTTCAATAATAAAAAAAAGAAATATAAAAAAATAAAGTGATTGCCTGTGTACAAAAAAAAAAGAAATAATAGATAAAAGCTAAATGAAATTAAAGTAAATAAATCATATTCACGCCTATGTACAATATTTACATTCACCCAGGGGACTCTGAGTCATGCCTTATTCCCCGACGTGGAAGCCAAGGCAGGACTCCAGGAGATCCCAGTGCTTCTCTCTCAGCCGCGTCACTGTTATTTGAAACCAGTGGAGAATCTGGCCATTGCCAGTACTTCAATATATACATATTTACAAAAGGTTGCGGGGCCTCTGCCGTTTTAACCTCCGGGGAGGATTGTAGGGATGGCTGGAGCTAGATAGGGATTGTGCTACAGGATTTGGATGATGAGTGAGTTTCTGGTGAAATTTGGAAAATTTGTCTGGGATTAGGTCAATAACAAATGGTGGTCATTATGGAGGGTTTTGTTGGATACATAGAAGGGAGCATCGACTATTGTTCGGAGGATTTTAGAATATGTTTCTTTAAAACATATTTTAAAAAATACAAGCCCTACTTCTCTTTTGATTAAATTCATTGCTTTTTATTTTAACTCTTCTAAAAAGCTGTAGAACCAAAGTTTATTTGTCAAATAATACATATCAATTCATGAAAATATCTTACCGAAATTTAATAATTAATTAAATTAACTTGGAATTATTTGACTAAAACTATAGCCTTTAAAAATGTTCATGAAATCCACTATGGGCCTCCTCTTTCCACAATCCTACTTCTATGTACAATTCTGTCTCCTCTTTACATTAATTACCTTTATTATATATTTCATATTTAATAGTCTTAGTCTTCATATTTACATTGTTTACCAAAATATTCCAGTTAACTATTGCTCTTATTGGGTCTTTCTTTTTTCCCCTCAGTGTCTAGTCCAGAAGTTTCTAAATTTTTAGTCTAAGGCCCTTACCCCTCCGCTATTATGATTTGGAGATCACTGTTCTAGACTTTTTGTGCATTACTTCCTGAGATGTTATCATCTTTTATGCTGCATATATTTTTAATTTAATTTTTATTCACAGATTTGAAGATTGGATATAAAATAATGGGAATCAGAAATATAATTACTCAAGCTACACTATGATTGAACTTTTGGGAATCACCCATATACGTTTTTATTACCTTAATAACAGCTATTGATTCTTCCATTAACATATCCCACCTATATAATTAAAACAAGTTTAAGTTTAAGTAATTTATGTTTAGTTAGATCCCAACTATTTAATTAAACCAAAACATAATTTTAGGCTGATAAAATAACATCGTGAAAATTATTGATGCTATTTTTATGAGTTTATAATTATTATTATATTGTTTTAATAAAATATAAATTTATTTTTGTATATTACTCATTTTTTATGTTATTCGATACTTATTGTTTTCTAGAAATGTTCTGACTACAGAGCTTCAGCAGTTCCAACTTTTGCAAGAACAGAACCACCTAATACTCAGGTACATCTTTCATAATTTTTAATCATTTAATATTCAGTTACCATTTTATAAAGAGTAAAAAAATTAATCAAGATCAATTTTCTCACATGATTTTTTTCAGGGATTCTTAAAGAGATTTTAGTGATAGTATTTGTCTGCTGTATCATTTTCAAATAAAAATATTTAGTGAAAGTTCAAAAATTATTAAAAATGTTCTGTTGTAATACAGACATGAATTAGTAGCGAATAACAGTGAGCAATTAATTCTTGGTCACTCAAAATCTATTTTTAGAAACCGTTATACAAATGAAGTTATGCAATTTTTAACAAAAAAACAATACCTTCATTTCTTATTTACAGAAAATGATGAAACCTTAATTGATAATTTTTAATTTAAAATAAATTAAACTATAATATTCAAACAAGTAATAATTCAATTTATTATTTAATAATATTTTTTATTTCTTACTAGAGTCCACAATTATTTTAAAATTAATATAATTCTTATTTGAATTATTTAATTTTGTTATGAATCAGTCAATTTAGAGATTTTCTCATTTTTTAAAAATACTAAATATTTATTTTTAATTAATGAAAAACGTTTTTAAGTTAAATATATTGATTAAAAATATTCTTAAAATAGTAGCTGAATAATTATGGAAAATTAAATGTACATACTGCCTCATTTCTTTAATATGATTTTGTCTTGTAATATCTGTATAGATATTATGGCATTGTTTCCAATTTATTAATAGATCTCAAAAGGAAAACATTTGAAAAAAAAAGCAAAATTATTAATGTTCTTTTTTATAATTTTATTAGTCCTGCTCACTTCTGCAAGTGCTACAATTATACAATTTTATACAGCCAAAGAGCTTTTAGTTTCATAAAGAAACTGTTTTCAAGAAAAGCTTAAAAAGTGGTGCTAGATCGTTAAGCCACCAAACATGCCACATGTATTCTTTGATTATGAATACAACCATACCAATTGGTCTCAGGTTTCGTAATCATTTTGATCGCTATGGCTTCAACTGCCGATGGTGCCTTGTATCCTTTGACTGAATTGTTTTATTATTATTATTTTTTTATACTAGTGTTATGTTAATAATCAATTACTTTTCTTTGTTAAAGTAAATGTAGCTGATTTAACCAGTCTCCTAATAGTGTTAAAGTTTGTAATGTAGGTTTCTTCTTTTCAGATGAAGTTTGATTATTTGTGGAATCCTCTTTTGTTTTGAGCATTAGTATTTTTCTTGGCTATATGAAGTTTGTTGTTTAAGGCATCTTAAACTTGTGTTGGAAACTGTAGTAAGATCTACTGGACATACTACTGTTCTGTATTAGTTTTTGGTAGACATGATTCAATGCTATTATAACAATCCTTTTAGTGGCAGACCAAATTCCATTATTTAATGCCTGGTGGATAAACCAAAGCATTTAGTATAAACAATCATTAACAGAATATTTCACATTTTTATATAAATGAATCTCTAAAATCTTACAATACTTATAATAAACCCCACAATTCATATTTAGTCATTAATTGAAATAATAACAGCAAGCAAAGCAAAAGATTATGAGTTCATATTAGAAATTTTATTTATAAGGTTTTATAGCAGTTCTTAGTTTTAAAAAAATGACATTCATACATCACCAGAACATATTAACTTATAATTTCAAAATTTATAACATTCTCTTTTCATCTAGATCTCTGTTATGAACAATAAAATTAAAATTAAATTTGTATTATAATTTTCTATGTGCAATCAATGTAATTATATACTGTTATAATGTTTTTATGGTTTATTTTAATTGTTCCTATTATTAAGATATTATAGACAAGAAATAAGTAGTAATTGACTATTAATTAATTTAATTTTTTGTTAAAACTCATGATTTATTCTCATTTACTAAGTACTTACATTCCATATATATATATATATATATATATATATATATATATATATATATATATATATATATATATAGTCATTTACATCATGATATAAATGACACCACAGCAAATATAGTTCCTCCTTCCCAATAGAAATTAAATTTATTCATTTAATTTTTTTCACATGATTTTCTATTCCAACATTTTTCAGTGAAATTCACAACACTCTTCGGCTAAAATATTTATTTTTCAAACAGATTCTCCTTCATTCAAAATGAAATTGTATTGCCTCAGACTAAATCTTCCTTTGTTTTAGGTAACTAAATCAGTGGTCGCCCTCCTGGAATATTACGATTGGCATAAGTTTTCAATAATAATGGAAGAGACATGGTCTATTGTTGGAGACAGTTTGGAAACAGAAGCACTCAAGAAAAACATGAAGGTTAAACATAAGAAGAGTATGCTAGACAGGCACCTTTGCTGTGAAATGAAACATAACTGTTGCCGAACGACATTTTGGTACGACCTTATTCAGGAAACAAAAAATAGTACGAGAAGTAAGTATCTTTTCTTATTTTATAAATGGGATAATACTGTAGTGTTAACAATAATGTGTTTGTTCCTTAACTACCACTATTATCCACAACAGAAACTAATTATTTTCCTAAAAACTTAGTAGTTACTTTTATTTTTATTTATCAATTGAATCTTGGTCTTTCCTTTCTTTGTAACTGAAACCAATTCTGGACTAATTGTACTGGCCAAATTATGTTATAAATATTTTACATTTGTGCAAAAACCAAAGTGGAAGATTAATTCGGTGGCTAATTATAACTTTACATGTGGTCCATTGTACAGACCAATCCCTTTTTATCAAATTATTAACATCCACCTAAAACTTCATGAATAGTTTCATCTCATCTTATCGTAACCTACAACTTTTTTTTTAATAAAAATTCTTGGAATTTTATTTTTTTTATTCTCCATTATGTTTTGTTCATATATTAAATTTCCTTTTCACAAAAGTAAATGAAATAATGCATCATGAATAATGCACTCTATTTAATAAAGTGAAGGTGTACTCAAGTTCCTCTTCTTGGGTTTTAAAGATTTAAGTTAAATTGATCTGGCAGTTATAGGTTTATATTTTGCTACAGCTATAGTAAATTATAATTGAAACTTAATTAATAGATATGTATTTATTACATAATATTTATATTTAGAATTGTACATAACAAGTAATTCATAAAATCACCCTCTAAATTATAACTTTGGATTCTATTAAATTTTATTAGATACAATTTACATTATATTATATTATTTTATACCTGTTGATAATGTCTCATTGAAGAGGTACTAAAAATAGTTTGTTGATTATGGAGACCTTGTAAAGCTAAAAATAAACCAGAGACAATAGAATCCAGTTTTATGTTCCTTTAGATAAACATTGTTTGCTTGTGCTATTAATAGCTTCAAAGACCGTTCAGATGAAATACCTTTAAAAAATTGTTCACTTAATATTAATTTTTCATTTAATACTATTTTTTTTTTTTTTTTTTTTGTTAAAATTCTGTTCATTCTTACAATTTAATGTTTTTCATTTATATTTTACTTTATGTTTTCTCCTCTCTCATCGTTGCACTTTTTATCTATCCTAAATGAAATAATTGTCAAGATGATGTTCAAAAAATTATTTGTTCATTACAACATATCATTAATTATTATGGGCAAAATAATAATAATAATCCGAAAAAGGAATAAAAGTTCTGTGGACATAAATTAAGTAAAGAGGAAATAGATTATGATGATGATGATGATAAATTATATTAAAAACAAAAGAAAGATATCAAGGTCCCATAAGATGAACAATTAAAGCTGATCCTTTAAGATATATCTATGAAAAAAAAATCAATATTATCAGCTTTTCTGGTAGCTTAGTCAAATCAAGATTCTGCTTAGATAGTATCTATTTCTAAGTATAGTATAGATACTTATGTTATAGTATAGATTAGGATAGATCCTAATCTAATAGATACTGGAGAGGTAATCAGCTCCATTGAAGAGGAAGACACTATATTAAATATCTTGGTTGTCGGTTCTCTGGGGAGCTAGATTTCGATGATGGTTCTGTGGCGAAAATAACTAGAAATATGGAAAAATTGGTAAGTTAGAATCTTCTTAAGCCAGAACAGAAGATCAATATTGACAATGGATATGTCTTCCCTTCTCTAATATATCCATTTCAAATGGCCCCCATTATTCTTGGAATCTATAGACATTATATTACAAAGAACTATTAAGGTGATGGTAGGTTTACTGGGGTGTTCATGAGTTTTTAGCAAATGTTGAAACTTTAACTGAATGATGTTGAAACTTTTTTTAAAAGATCCATTTTTTAACAGTTTCTTGGGGAATTTTTAGCAATAAAGTTCTATGAAAGTTTTTAGGAAAAAAGTTCTTAAACTAAATGTTCTGAGAAACATTTTTGTTATAAAATTCCAGGCTTAACATGAAAGTTTAACTTGTACTTATTTAAGTTTTTAAAAAAAGTTCTGTTAAATGAACAATAAACTATAATTGTGGTTATATTAGAGTTATAATTTGGCTTAAATGAATTCCACATGATTCTTGTGCGTTTTTTGTTTGAGTAGCTCTGAACAAAATTCATTTTTTAGATAGACTTTTTACCAAAATTGACAAAATTTTTAAATAAAAGCTTTTTAAAAACAAAAGTTCTAGTTCCAAAATAACTGAAAAACTGTCGACAATAAAAATTCCGGTGATTCCAAAACATAAAAATATAAGTTTTTTTTTCTTTTTCAAGCTCTGGTTTTTAGTACAAATTAAATTAAATCGACAAAGTTTGCCGATCTCAATATTGAAAACGTCCCAATTCCAAGGATTTTTGTAAATAAAACAGTTGTTGATTGCGATAAGATGAACCCATTCATCAAGTTTTAGATGGATGTTCATAATTTGATAAAAAGAGGTTTGTACTGTGAACTATATTTGTATATTCAAAAATTAAAAGATATATAATCTTTAATTCTCTTGATTTCCATAACTGCAAGTCTTATTAATTAATTGTGTTTTAAATATTTATATCTTGATCTTGCCTCCCAATATTTGATATGTTATCACATGTAATATTATTGTACCAGTATCTAATGATGATTACTGATTTAATAGTATTATTTATTTTTAGTTTACGTATTTCTTGGAACAGCGGTTACATTGATTGATATGATGTCTACTATGCAGGCCCTTCAGATGTTTGAAAACGGAGAATATATAGTCATTTATGTCGATACAACTCCATTTTATCAAAGAGAGGAATCAAAATATCTTTGGAGTAAGTATAGAATCTTTGTATCTTCAAAATAATAAATTTATAAATCAAATTGCAAATTTTTTTATCAGCATTTTGTAATATAATTTTCAACATGTGGATTTGTCACTTTTAAACATGCTGGCCCGATATTTCTAAAAAGGAGTCTAATCATTACAGATATAAGAGAAATATTACATAGCAGTGGTTTTAGAAAAACTTATGTAACTTCACTTACCTCCGTTTCCATTCCACTTGAATCTACACTCAATTTTCAATTTTAAAAGTCCAAACCATGCTGTTTATATTTCAGCCAAATATTATTATACAAAAGATGTCCAGCTTTCTCTGCTATCAAATTAAATATTAGGAAATTTGCTATCTTCCTGTCCAATACAATAGTTTCTTCACTCCACTATGAAGATTTCTTTACGCCCCAAAAGCATTTGATAAAAAATCAATTTAAGTTAAAAATTATGTAATTTTGTTTTAACCTTCCAATCTTATTAACGATCAGCATGAATCGGAAGAAGCTCATTTCAACATTACCCTAATCCTTATTTAACTCTAGATTTACAAATGTACGCAGATATTTGTCATGCTGTGAATTTTGTTTATTTGTTTTCTAATTATAAAATAAACATTTTCAAAGTATTTTTGTATGTAACATTTTTTCTATCTCGGATAATCAAATTTTTGATGGAGCTGAACTTTTAAGAATGTTTTTGTGAATTTCAAACTTATTTATTAATAAAACAAACCTCTATAAGTGAACTAAAATGGCAAAAACACTTTAATACATCAAATATAGTCACAATAAACATACAATTTTCTAATTTCACCACGAGAAAATTCATCAAAATTCTTATTTATTTAAGATTTCGTAACCTCCAAGCGCTGACAACTTTGATAAAATGAATTGTGACTTTTGACTTTGACTTTTGTCATGTTGATTTTGACTTTTTTACTATTAATAAATATGGTAAAATATTATTTAATAAAGACTTTCTTTCTTAAAAAGCAAACAATAACTAAAATTAAGTTTATTAATTTAATTTGGATTAATAATTAATTATTTTGATTAACAAAACTAATTCTAATTTGTGCCAAATTAAGCATGATTAATAATAAGTAGATTTCTTTTGTTTTAGAACCTACAGAACAGATGAACTGTAAAGGGCAGATGGGACTCTACAAGCGAGCGATGTCTCTGTTGGTAGTAGTTTCTTCCCCGCCCACCGGTGACTATGAAGATTTCACTAGGAAAGTCCGTGAATACAATACCAGGGAACCTTTCAATTTTACGACACCGCAAGTGTTCACCAATGTCTCGTACGTGAAAGTAAGACTCAGTTTCCCCCACTGTGTATATACCTTTTCCTGCCCTAAGAGGTTTTTTAGCTTATCGAAATAATGTTTCATTGCTTATAGAAGTATAATTTAGGAATTATAAGTTACATGAATTTGCATGTATAGTAGGTAATACTATTTTAAGCATAATTACTACTGCCTATTAACTTCTTTATGTTTTAAAGCAATGAATACAAATAATTTCTACTATAAATAAACATTTAATGAAAGCTAGATGGTTAATAATGTGATGAATTTCAAAGATTTTTGTACTTCCAGAAATGGATCATGTAACCAATAAAGCTGATTCTTTAAAATTATTTTATAAAAAAAAAAAGTGCAATATTACTTACTCTTATTTATTACTTAATGTATATTAAAGAATTTTAAATATGGCTGTAGGACAGTAATTGTTCTATCATAAACTCTTTTTTTTCTCTTCTTTTCCCCTTCCACACCTTTTAGGCTATATGGGGTTATTCCCCAGGAGAGAAGTAGGAATTATGTCAGATTTGAAATTTCCTCCTGCATACGATATGAACTCGTAATCTTCGGTTTCTTAAATTGCTGGGCAAAGCGTATTTTACACATACGTTAGACTGCTCGGTCATCTCGCCCCCAACCTATTTGGTTTATACGTTATGTTTTTTCCAGGAAATGATCACCCTTATGATCTCATCAGTTTATTCATCTTTCATTAACAATGTTTCGAGCCCCATTGGCTCATTATCAAGTTATCTTAAAGTTTTCACATTATTTTTCTTATTTAATTATCTCTCACTACAATTCTTGTCATAAAGCATTTTATTTTGTATTTAATAAAAGTCTTATCAATTAATTAATGCCAAGCAGTCCTTTGACCTTCGTTGCTTAAAATGGAGATTTATAAGAAAGTGAGAGTAACTAAAAATCTACTTGGGCTATTTTCTATAAATACTTATGGCTTAAATAGAAGTTAATTAATAATAGATAGTGGAGGATCAGATCAGTATCATATTTTAATCTTATTTGATTAGTCCAGTCTCTCAAATCTTTCTAATTTTCTGGTGTTTATTCAGAAATTAAAATATTCAAATAAAAAATTCTTTCAATCTTCAGGGATGGATGTGTGGGTCGTGGAAGGAAAGTATAGTGTAATCCTGGAGAACTCTTGCACAGCAGAGAAAAGCATTGGAAAACTGAGTTAATGTTTTTAGGATATGAATTGAAATCAAATTCATTTTGCTGACATATTGATTTAGAAATCAAATTGAATTACTTAATTATTGCTGCTTGCTTATAGCTGTTTTGAAAACTATTGAAAGTAAAAGTACCTTTGTTTAACAACAAAGGATTTATATTAACTATCAACAGAAAGAACAATAAAGAGGATTACTTCTTACAAGTACTATTGTAATAAGATGCTAGGTTAATTAGGATGATAGCCTTAATTGTTTGCTCCTCCTCTAGATCTTGCTCTACTATATGTCTTAGTCGCTGTTCAAGAATTCTTGTGTATATCTTGTACACAACTGACGAAAGGTATATTGGCCTATAGTTCCCGCATTCGCTTTGGCTGCCTTTCTTGTATATAGGGATTATGATATTGTTCTCCCATTCTTGTGGTATCAGCTCGAGGTCCCAAATCTTTTGGAAAAGAGTTTGAAGGATCTTGATCATTTTATTGTCTCCATATTTAATTAATCCTGGAGCTATTTCATCTGGTCCTGGTATTTTTTCCATTTTGATTCTGCTTGCTGCCATTTCCACCTCATCCTCGCCTATTGCGTCATCCAAGTCCTCCGGGTAAACCTCTTCCACCCACACTCACCTTCTGCAGTCTCTGTGTCAATGTTCTTCCATACTAAATTTTTCCTGGAAGAACTCTCCAAACTTCTAATAACGCTTTTTCTTCAGTCACCAACCTGCCATTTGCATCTTTTTTATTTCTGACCGGTTTGGACTTTTTGGCTTTTAGAGCTTTTGCAATATGCCAGAATCTCCTTATATTCTCGTTATAATTCTGTTCTAGCTCCTGGCTGAATTGATCCCAGATCCTCATCTTGACTGATCTAATTATTCTTTTGCCTTCATTTCGGTACTTAAGATATTCTTCCCAGTGGATAGGTAGTTTCGTTCTACAGTATGATTTCCAGGCATCGTTCTTGAGCTTTACTGCTCTTTTCACCTCATCGTTCCACCATTTTGTTTTCTTGGTAGACTGCCTCATTTTCTTAATACCACATACTTCACTAGCTGTATCGCTGATGCAATTCTTAATTTCTTTCCAAAGAGTATCCAATTCACTATCTCCATTTATTAACTGAAGACGGCTCTCCAGCATTGTTCTTTACTCCTCTTGTTTCCATTTTCAACACTTTACCATTGATTCTATTAAATGTTTTGCTAGGCCTCTTCTTTGGCTTGATAGATTTAGTATCAGTGACTAGTAGCTTGTGGTCTGTACTAAATTCTGCATCCCTTATGACTTTAATATCTGTGATGAATCTTCTGAGGTCTCGTTCCATAAAGAAATAATCAATGACACTTCTTCTCATACCCTGTGCTCCTCTATTCTTGAAAGTGATCTTATGTATTGTTTTATGTTGGCAGAATCATGTTAAAATAGCAAATGTGAAATTTTACATTTCTTAATTTCTTTCATATCATTTTTATTCATTTACCATGCCCAACTTGTAGACAAATGTTGAATCTGAACAGCGACCGGAAGACCAGAATCAATGCTGTCATTTTAACAAATTTATTTGATATTCACAAGTTTTAGTAGGGAATAATCATAATCGAAAGTTTACATTGAACAAAGTCACATTCGTTACTTTAATATGATACCGATGATATAACCAACCTCAGTAATTTGTGTAGAGGTTTAAATTAAAAATATACTCAATGATACAACTGAATTAAAACCTTCAAATTCTCATACCTATAAACTCATTTTTCAAGTCCTCACTTTGACTTTAAATGGACATCATTTCAGTCTAAAAAATTAAAAGTTTAGGCTGGAAATAAGATGTCATATTATTCAATCTTCATTATAATGATAATAATTTTCTTTACATTTACAGTTTATCTCAATCTACGCTGCCTACCTCTATGACTCTGTTAAACTGTATGCTACAGCTCTCGATGATCTGCTGAAAGGTTATCCTGAACTCAATGACACTATTATTGAAGAAGTGGCAAGTAATGGAACTAAAATAATAGAAACAATTATCAACAGAGGTTCTTATAAAAGTAAGTTTTTTTCTTGTTTTATATAGTTTACAATCTTATCTCAATGACCTGTAACGAACTTCAACTAATTTCAAATTTTATAGGTATTACTGGAACAACAATAAAATTAGACAGCAATGGTGATTCAGAAGGAAATTTTTCGGTTTATTCTTTCATTAGAAGTCCTAATAAAGAAAACTTGTCGGAGTGCGTTTATCATCTTCGTTTCGTTGGGCAGTTCCAGCATCAGCCTAATTCCACTTCTCCAGTAAGGACAAATTTATTCATTTTTTTCATGTTTTAATAATCATCTTTGAAATAAATTAAATGGGAAATTTGTTTGTTTTAATTATAATAATTAAATTTATATATTATTATTAACTATATATTTATATATTATATTAAATAATTTGTTCTAATTATATTGCAATTTTTGTTTTGTGCTACACAAAACAGTCATATTTAAGAATTTTAAATTAAATGCTAAACCTGAATCTAACTAGACTTTTTTATAACAAAAATTTACTTGGTCTATTTTACTAGAAGCATCGTTTGGTTTTTATAATTTATGATATATTGTAATCATTTAATACTGTGGGCTATATTTTGTTCTTATTCTGCATAAAAAAAGAAATATGTTTGTGTTTAATAAGCTAAAAATCCGAAGCAAAGGTAAAAGGAAATCACATAAAATATGTTTCAAATTATATAATTTTTTTTCTCGGCTCCTAAGGCCCGTTGGAACCAACACCAGGATATCTGTTAAATATTTTTCAATTTAGAATCATAAAAAAAAAATTAAGTTGAAATCGGCAATCCACTGACTGTCACTTCCTCTTCTTAGTCATACACTCATCTCATGTATTAAACTTACATATATAATCTAAATTTAATGGATATGAAACTACGGGGCTCAGATAATTAATAATATAATTTAAATTAATATGATTCTTTACTGACCTTTTTTTTTTTCAGATTCATAAATAACAAATACTTTAGGTTTATTATAATTATAATTTTATATTTCCTCTAGGAGTTTAAAGCTTCTACTCGACTTCCTTGGATCCATGGAAAAAAGCCTGAGGATGAGCCTTCTTGTGGCTTCAACAATGAGAACTGCCCGAAGGATGGCTCACAGAAGGGTTCAATAATCGCAGCGATCGTGCTAGCTATAGTTCTGTTCTGCGCCACTGTCAGTACTATCAGCATCTATCGGAAGTGGAAGATCGAACAGGAAATAGAAGGTCTCCTGTGGAAGATAGATGTCTCGGAGCTTCATGACTACCACGATATCATATCGTCACCTAGTAAAGTAAGTAACATATTAAATTGTATATGACTTCTATAATGATCTGTTCGATTTTATACAGTTTCTCAGCCAAAATATAGAGGCATATTTGTTAAACTTGATCCAAGTACAGTGGAATCTTTAAGAAGTTCCTTGAAAAAAAATTGAATTATATAAATTATGATGTATGAAAATATTTCAATTTTTCATTCTTTTCACACTAAAAAAACAATATTAGGAGATTATATTTCAGTATTGCTTCATCAATTTTATCAATTAAAAAAATACTAACTATGAAGGGAAGCTTGAAGGTTCTTAAAAAGAGATAATGGAATTGTATATGTATAGTACTTTTGGTAATGAGGAAGCAAAATGTACTATCAAATAAATCAATATTTTTTTTTTTTTATAATGAGGATAATAATAATGTTATAAAACAAATTTAGACTGCAAATTCTCACTATTTATCATCCTTATATTTTGAAATGTAAGTCTACAAAAATATCCATCTCTTAATAGTTTCTTTGAACCTTCAAGAATTATAGGTATAATATAATTTTGTCTGTGACAGATCAGCTTAGTGAGTGCTACTTCGTTTGAGTCGAGATGTGGTCCTCAGCGGTTCGCCTCTACTGGCCAATTCCGAGGCTTGGTAGTTCGAGTAAAGGAAATAAAATTCTCTCGTAAGAAAGACATCTCAAGGGACATTATGAAAGAGATGAGGCTGCTCAGGGAGGTCAGGCACGACAACATCAATTCTTTTATTGGTGCAGTCGTCGAACCGATGAGGATTCTTGTTGTCACGGATTACTGCTCCAAGGGTAGCCTTTATGTAAGTCAAATGGCAATTATTTATCTCTTTTTGTTTTAAACATTTATTCTTAATTTTCATTTTCCTTTCTCTAGTAGTGTTCCTTTTTATATTATTACTTTATTAAAGGAGTTCCCAACCTTTTTTCACCTGGGGGCTCATTTATAGGTTATGTGTTAGGTGGGGGGGACAAAATATTCGTTTGTAATATTTAAAAATAAAATGTGAAGGTAGCAATAAAAAAATGTATATGTATAGTAACACACTTTTTTATTATTTCTAACACTAATGATACATATTTCTACGGAAAAGGAGTAAACACCAAGTGTAATGAATGTTAATAATTTTATATAGTTTTCTTATAGTAGGTTAACATATTTTGAAAATAGAATAGAAAATTAATCAGAATTTATATGGGTTATAACTATTTAGGAAATAAGGTTAATGCAGTGTTACCAATGATATGACCATATTCACGATTTTTTCCAAAAGCTGGATAAGATTTTTTTTAATTTTTTTTTTTAGCATTATTCTTTCTTTAGGTATGTAATGAATTCTAAAAATAAAATAAATAAAAAATCCAAATAATGAAAATATATATGTAGTGTTATTTTAAAAATCTTATTAATTAATTCTAAGTTGTATAAATTGAATTTAAGACTTAAAATTGAATACAAAATCTGTTTTAATAATTCAGGTTTTCCAAAAAAAAGAATAAGCTATCTTAAATTTGATGAAATTTAGTATTCTATTTTTAAAATTTTGCATTTTTACTATCTTCATTGACCATTTAAACTATTATTATGATTTTTTTTTTTAGGATATTGTGGAAAATGAAGATATCAAGTTGGACAAAATGTTCATCGCATCCCTTATACATGACCTGATAAAAGTGAGTTTTGGCTCTTAGTGTTTTTTTTTTATTATTATTATTACTATGAATGTTTCTCTTCTATTCCCTAGGAATTCTTTGTATTATTTTTTAGTTTTAAGTGGTTCTAAAATCTTAAAATAATCATCAGAATTTCGTAAAATCTATTTTATGCTCTCTTTAATGGTATGTAACCAAGCAAGTATGTACAATGTGACTGGCAGTTGATGTTACGGGAAGCCTTGACTCACCACTAAGTATTAGTGCCGGAAGAAGAAGAACCGGGCAAGCCCCTAAACTCAGCTCTGAGCTCATCGATGCCATTGTTTAGTCCAGCTTAGTGACAGACCCGATGCCAATCTAACCTAATATTCATTATTTTTATTATAAAAATTTTAAAAGTAAACTTAGATATTTTAATTGGAGTGCTACCAATGGGTAGTTCCTCTTTAAGTCGTACATGTCATATTACAATTTCAAATTTACTTGTATTTGTAGCTACAATATATATATATATATATACAATATATATATATATATATATATATAATATATATATATATATATATATATATATATATATATATATTTATATATTAAATATATATATATTTAAATATATATATATTTAAATATAGTGGTAGAGGTATATATATATATATGTATATATATATGTGGTATATATATATATATATATATATTTATATATATTAAAGCTTGGTATAAACAATTAATAAAAATACCTCTACCACTACAAGCCATGAAGGGCCTTGGGCTCAGTACTATTTAGCGAAAGTACTGTTGTCATGGGTAGAGGTGATGAACAATTAATAACAGTTATAAAATTGACAGTAGTGCTTTATTTACAATAATTATATTTGAAAAGTTCATTTTAATGAGTAATATTGAAATATTAACATTATACCTTTTCCTTCTCTTAGTTGTTTCTATAATTTTTTCAGGGCATGATTTTTCTCCATAATTCCCTTCTTGGAGTTCATGGAAACCTGAAGTCATCTAACTGTGTTGTTACTTCCCGCTGGGTATTGCAAGTTTCTGATTTTGGGTTACATGAAATTCGCCACTGCCCAGAGTGTGACAGTATTGGCGAACACCAGTATTATCGAAGTAATATTCTTCAGTTGTGTTATTAATTATTTAATGAATTAATATTAATGTAGATAGTAGCTAAACAAAATTTAAAAAATACAATATTTCTATTTTAAAAACAATACTTTTAAAGATAATGAAGTCATTTTAATGAATACAATTTTGATATTACGTAATCTATTAAAGATTGATGAAGATATTGTTGGTTGTAGAGTAAGGTATAATGCTGTCCCAGAATACATTGAATTAGTATTATACCTTATTGTGGCTTTCTTTCTTGACCAAGTGTCTATTATCTTCTCCTTTGTTAAAAATTCTTGTTTATTTAAGCTTTTATTGATGGATACATTAAATCATTTAATTTATTTGATTTAATCATGTTGTAGATAATTGCAGTTTACTTACCTATCATAATATATTAGTTTATAGGGTATAATTTACTAAATTATTACAATTTTGCAACATTTTCAGTTAATGTATTCTTGCATAAATAAATATTAATCACAAATATGTCTTAATAGGTTTGCTGTGGGTGGCACCTGAAATTCTAAGAAATGTCCACAACTGCCGTGGAACACAAAAAGGAGATGTTTATGCTTTTGCGATAATCCTTCATGAAATTATTGGAAGGAGGGGGCCATTTGGAGCATGTGGACTTGATGAGCCTAAAGGTATCACTGATTTTTTTTTTCATTAATTTATTTTTTTAAAACAAAATTGTGACGGCTGTGGCTGTTAAGCATGTATAATTGTTCTTTACCCTAATATCATTCGGTACTTTAATTTAATTTAATTAAAATAGACAAAAAGAAATTATTGATACTAAAACACTTATTTTACAACACACACAAACACACATACACACACACATATATATATAAAATAATTTTATTTTATATATAACACTTTATATATATATCATACATATGTACATACTTTATATATACATATACAACACTTTTCTTGAGCAGGCTATGACTCAAATAATGGGTGGTAACGCCGAATAAGAAGAAGAAGAAGATATAAAACACTTTTATTTTACTAAATTTTATTTATTTTGGAAGACAGAATAATTTTTTTTTTTTTTGGTTGGCGCTGCAGACCTTGTAGATCTTTGTCCGTGAGATGTCGTCTTCTAGATCACATCCCGATTCCTGATTAAGTACACGGGGGTAGGATCATCAGTCCTACGCCCGCAAAATAAATTTATGCTATTTAAAGTAGCGAGGAACAGATCCTCTTCTCCGTGGACCCGCCACCACAAAAATTAACATAAATAGGAATCCAGGTGTTGCCTGGCAGTTTCTCAATGTTTTTTATTCCTCGACTTAGCTGGGCCCCATAATCGTTCTATGTGTTGAGTATGGATACCACTTCAATGATCAACAAAGTTATACCCGTGATTCATCTGGAAATGTTTATAGTTTGCTTCATTTAGTTGTTGGGTGTATCCTTTCCAACAGTCAGAATATAGAGTGGTTCTTCCTTCTGTTTTATTATTAATACATTCTAATAGAGTTGTTGCTTTTCTGTATTTTATTTTTACCATGAATCACTCATCTGTTTCCCCTTTTCATGACCTTCTTCACACAATTTCACCTTTGAAATTATCCCAAACTTCTGAAAGTATTTGACAGTTTCTTTTTCCAAAGACAGCAATGCCCAAAGTGTTATTATATCCATTTTACACAGAAAAGATAAAAAATTGAAAATAATTGAATAACGCACATTATATTACATTATATAGTATATAATTAAATAAGTAAAGGAAAGATAACAAGAGGTTAGATGAGATAAGAAGGGAGGTTCCGTGGTGAACGGCTAAGTCACAAGTACCTATCATTCTTCTAATTATTTATTCATTCATATTTCTATTTAAAATGACAGCTTTGTGATGAGAAATTTATCCATTTTTTATCAATCTCCATTACTCTATATAATATATAGTAATTTTTCTAAATCCATTACAACAGTTCTCCGTTACAATCTCTTATTTTTCCTTTAGTTAATCATCAAATTCTTTCGTATTTTATATTTAAATATTTTTTATATCAGAGATCGATGTGGAATGGTTAATTGTTTCAAATAAGATCAATGTGGAATGGTTAATTGTTTCAAATAAAAAAAATTTAAGGTACTTTAGGGGAAGCTAATGTTGAAAATTAGCCATTTAAGCCCTGCTAGACGACATCTATGAGAATAAAACCTACATTACATTAAAACTGTTTAATTTTACACTAGTATAATGAATTTAATCAAAATCATTTGAGCTGTTTTCGAGAAAATCGTAAAAATGTGTTAAATCGATGATATAATGTGCCACTTCCAGTTAGCCGATTTTGGCGAAAAAGTTGTAACATCCCATGCATATAAAAACCTTAAATACATAATTTCAGTTTCGCACGACTTTCCATTTTTGAGCTAGGCTGTTCACACACACACTCACAAACCATTTTGTGGGACTTGGTTATTTGGACTCAGGAGACCTCAAAACGTGTATTTCTGTTGAAAACCAAGATTCGAAAATTTTCATGATCACAATACTTACCATTGCTATATATTACATATATAGGTAAGTGAGGTGGGCCTGGCAACCTGATATATAAGACTGATAAAAAAAAAATATTCACGAGTTCGCGTCCCGGTGCCCAGAGGAGTTTTTAAATCCTCGCCCACACTCCCTGGCCCAGGAAAACCCCCATATAGCCTAAAAGGCGAGGAAGGGGAGGAAAAAAAAAATCAAAAAAAAAATATATATATCTATAGGTAAGTGAAAGTAAAAATAACAATAATTTAACATAAATAAATACTCTATCTAAAATTTAAACAACAGAAAAATCCTTTAATTTATACCAAAAAGGCATGGCACACTCCATGTGCCGCGCACCGGTACCTCATAAATGCATAGAAGGTCTTGGGTTCAGTAGTTAGAAAGAAATTACCATTTCTTGGTCAACAGTTATACAATGGAAGCAGGTGATTTGACTGTCACGCTTAACTGCGCCTTTTAATTTAATTTTTCCTAAAATAATTATTTAATTAATAATAAGAATGCTCTCAGGGTCGATCCATGGCTAATGTAGCAGAATAAATAATTATCTGCCAAAGCCATACTGGGAAACCTGACCCAAAGCATAAGAGCATTGTGCCTAACTCATTGAGCAACTCCTCTTCCTTCTTCTTTAGTTAATCAAATAAATTCTTATGTAGGTTGTATTATCAATTTCTTTTAATTATCAACAAAAATGTGAGACAATTACTTATTTTAAATAAACAAAATTAAAAGTAGTTTAGAAGATGCCCTTTTGAAAATTCATCATGTAATCCCTGTCAGACTTGTTTGATGAGGTTAATGCCTACCTGATATTAAAGAGCATTTAATTTTATTTTGATATAATGAGTTTAATCAGAATCGTGATATAGTTAGTACCATTTCCAGTACATATATAATTTCAGTTTTAAACAAGTTTTTATTTATGAGCTGTTCTCATACACAGATCAATTTCTAAGATGGAGGAACCTCAACATATGTATATCTATTAAGAATGCGGATTCAAAATTTTTCATAATTACAATACTTTCTCTTACCAAATGTTGAATCAGTTACTTTTTAAGTGAAAATAAATAATATTTTATAACATTAAGATTTTTGTTTTTTTCTTCAGAAATTGTTCGGATGGTTAAAAAGATTCCTGAACCAGATGAAATGCCATTCAGACCCTCTATATCTGTGATACGTGATAGTGAAGTAGGAGCCGATTTCGTAATAGATGTATTGACAGATGCTTGGTCTGAGGATCCAGAAATAAGGCCAGACTTTCCAACAATCAGAGCTCGCCTTAAAGCCATGAGAGATGGAAAGTACGTTGCTAGTTTTCATTTTGATTGATCGATGGAGAATTTATTTTATTTTATACTTATTATTATTTTGATTTTACCACAGGCATAGAAATATCATGGACCAAATGATGGAAATGATGGAGAGGTATGCCAACAACTTGGAAGACCTTGTGAACCAAAGAACTTTAGAGGTCTATGAAGAGAAAAGGAAAACTGAAGATCTCTTACACAGAATGTTGCCTGCGTAAGTTTTAGTTAATCCATTAATAATTTATATTTTTTAAAAATTAACTTAAAACTCTTGGTATGTGTTTCAAAGATCTATATCCTCTTTGTTATATTTTTGTGATTCATACCTTTTATTGTATTATGTTACTCATATTCTATTTGGAATAATTAAATGTTTTAAATTATTAATTAATCTCAGATTAAAATAATTGGACCACTGCTAATCCCTAGGACAATAATCAAATTCTTAACACAATTTTATTTAATATATTACACAATTTATATTGTTACGGTTCACCTTTTCCAATTGTCCTATTTCAAACAAATATTATATTTGCATCAAAGTCTAAAACTATTTTGATATATGATAACGCATGAAGAAATAATAACATTACAACAAGGTGGTTATAATAAGGTTACATCCACCAGATCCATCAACATCAATGGCCAATCGAATAAAGAGATTCATTGAATTCCATCTATGAGTTTAGGAACGGTCAGATAGATTTTCCAATGCCATTGATGAGCTCAGCTCTAAGTTATCCTATTAGAAACTTATCCTATTAAAACCAAATTGTTATTGTTTTTTCTTTTCACTTGTTATTTAAACTTAATTTAATATGATGTACCTAAAATTACAATTTTAATTATTTTGTCAATTTATTACTTATTGAAAAGAAAAAAAAAGATAATCAAAATTGGCCTCCACTTAATTCTGGTGACCCCTGTTAAGAGGAGATTTTTCAAGACCAGGGATCTCCAAATGTTTTGGCCAGTGTGCCACATTCAGACCTCCACTAAGTCCCACAGGTGATATTGAAACCTCTTTCTAAGTCCTGCATGCCATGGCTTGCGATGAAAAAAAAAAATTTGTTCTATAAATGATACTTCAGCTGTGAAATGGGCTTTACAAGAGATATAACTCATGCTATAAATGTTGTAGTAATAACATATTTGAATGATTTACTAAATTTCATATTTTTAAATAGTTTTTAAAACATTGCCATGTAATCATCAATCAATCAACAGAAAATTTCACTGGCCAGACTGGAGAATCTTGCAGGATCTGGCTTATGGAATATAGTTTTGAGACCCTATTTTAATCTATTAATCAAAATTTGTTTGAGATGTATGAGTTGTTATGTCCAAATTTTCATTTAACACTTCCCAGTTTATTTAAACTTTTTCATCAACACCTTTTGAAGACACCGGGATAATTGCAAAGGTGAAATATTGTGAAGAAGGTCGTGAAATGAAGTTTGACGGGAAGACGAAATGAAGATGCTTTCGTAGGACTTGTAACAAAAACGTATCTATAAGGAAAGGAATGTGGTTAGGGGGGGTCGAAGATACCTTTTCAGCTGCTTTAAAATTAATTTATGGGTTGTCTCATAATTTGACAACAACGCAGTGAGGCAAAGAACAGCTGAAACTATCGAACAGATGTATCATAATATGAAACAAATTTTTAAGAGAGGTTTGTGCTCATAACATGTTATACAGATCAACTAAGAAAATTGGAGGGTCTGGGAAAGTCGTTTAAGTAGATGAGAGTCTTTCTAAAAGAAAAATCATGTAGGGAGAGTTCTCCCTGACAATGGATGTTTGGCGGAGTTTATCGAGAAACAGATTAGTTTTTAATTATTTATTGTATAGTAGTGTACAAATATTAGTTAATAATTTACATTAGTTGATAGAGAACCAGAGAAAATAAGTAAACAGCTGCTTTGTTTGCCTTTTAGTTTATTGTCTAAAAAAATATTGTTTTATGTGTTTTTCTAATAATGAATTACAATGTTCTGTTAATGTTTGTAGGCCTGTTGCAAAGCGATTAACCAGCGGTTTTGGGGTTGAACCTGAGTCATTCGATCTAGTCACTATTTACTTCAGTGATATTGTAGGTTTTACTGCAATGTCTGCTGAAAGCACTCCACTTCAGGTAAAAATAAAAATAAAAGAAATTGTCCTCTAACTCATTGTAACTCATTGGCATAATTATTTATATTTGTTTCTTATAGGTTGTGAACTTCCTTAATGACCTTTATACGCTATTTGACAGCATTATCAGGGGATATGATGTCTATAAAGTAGAAACTATTGGGGATGCTTACATGGTCGTAAGTAGTATTTTAGTTTTTAAAAAATTATTACTGTAATAATAGAAATCATTAATGTAAACGAGTAAAAACTTACTAAGAGACAGAAAACCGATGTTAGATTATAATGGGGAAATTCCAACCACACAGCCTTGTGCCTTTAAAATACAGATAAAAAATAAAATAACATGTAAATACTTTGCCTAGGAAACAAACCCAAGATCACACCTCTCTATGACATCCAATCGCTTACTTGCAGGATGAAATTAATTTCTAGATTTTGTGCTGTATTTTCAAGCCATTTTATCTAAATTGGAACCAAAGAACCTTATTCCACATATTAGTGCTATAATTTATTATATAAACATTTTATTATAAAAATATATTATTGAAAATTTGACTAATCATTTTTTTAGGTCTCTGGTTTACCATTAAAGAACGGTGGTTATCATGCGGGAGAGATAGCTTCAATGAGCCTTGACCTGCTACAAGCGGTAAAAAATTACCAAATAGCACATCGTCCTGGTGAAACACTCAAACTCCGTATTGGAATTCATACGGGTCAGTATCATTTATGCAAGCTGTATAATATACATCTTGTTCTTTCTAAATATAGTTAAAATATCATTTTTCTTTTCTTTTTAGGGCCTGTGGTGGCTGGTGTTGTAGGCCTTACAATGCCAAGGTATTGCCTCTTTGGAGACACGGTGAACACTGCCTCCCGAATGGAAAGCAATGGAGAACCACTTCGAATCCATATCTCTGAGAGCTGCAAGGAGGCCCTTGAGAAACTGAGGGGCTACATTATCGAGCCGAGGGGCCCCGTGAACATGAAGGGGAAAGGTCTTGTTAATACTTACTGGCTCGTTGGAGCAACCGATGAAGCCATCAAGCCCCAAGAGGTGTGTTTCCGATTTTACAAGTGAAGATTTTAAATGGGGTGTGGCAAGTTGACCGAGCAGGCTAACACATGTGCAGTTATCATGATAAAATAATTACGAGTTGGCATTGTGGTGCCAAGGGGGTTTTTTATCTCTGGCGTTAATCTCCTGCCCCTTGGCCCGTGAAAACTCTTGTATAGTCTATATGGTGAGATAGGGGATGACAAAAAAAATTTTTAAAAAAGGGAAGATTTTAATGAATCAAGTATTATACTTATTGTGTTTTTATAATCATAATAATTTATACTATTTACCTATTTATTTTTGTTTTATTTGGATATCACAAATGAATAAATTTCTGATCCCTTTGATTTCATTGTAACGAGTGTATTCATTTTACTTAAATAAATGATTAGTAATGAATAAATGTCATTATCAATATAGGAATCAACTTAAATTATCTAAATTACTCCTACCCACATCTTTCTGATAATGAGTGTCATTCTAATTGTTAAACTTGATCATTGCCCAACTAAAGTATATTATAGTGATAATGCTAATTATTATAAGAAATTCCTTCTCAAATTTTAAATAACTAATGAACTTGACAGGTCGATGTGAATGAGCTGCCGCCACCACTGTTCTGTAGGCCGCGAAAGAGTCCACGCCTCTTGCAGACTGACAGTAGACGGCAGTCCAATGACATCAGGCCTCTGCCTCAGATTACTGAAGAGCCTCAGTTCTTAGAGCCAACAGTGCGCGGCTTCAAATCCTTGGACCCGTTGCCTTATCAGTCCAAGTCCAAGAGCCTAATCAAGAGGAGCTGTCACTCCCTCCAGGTACTTATCAATTTTGCAAAATATTCTTATTTATTTTGATTTTTACACTCTTTATTTTTACAATCACAATATAATTTTGTTTGTATATTTATCTGTGAAATTATTGCATATTTCAACTTTTTATTAATCGATAGAAAAAAAGAACAATGTATTTTTGAATGTAACATTCAGATTTCCAAAAAATGAAGTAATTTTTTTTTTATTTTAGTTTACAGAGCGAAAAACTTCGATGGTTATCATTGCCCATTTCCTTTGATTTTCTGTCCCCTTCATAAAATTTGTAAATCTTGTTCTGAAGTCCTGTCTCTTTTAAACTCTTGATCACTTTGTTCAGAGAACTGGGGTCTTCAGTTAGTGCCTTGGCAAGGGATCTTGGAATACCTAAGTTGGCCATTTTTGTGCTGTACTTAGGGCAATCTTCATTTATGTGTTTTACTGTTAGGGCTGTTTGACAGTTCTTTCAGTTTGGCAGCTGTGCCCTATTCGCAAATGAGTAATTACCACTTTGCCTCTTCTCGGATGTCTCGTGCTTGTAAACTTCTTTACTGATGGTTTAACCAATCTAAATTTGTTTGATATTTATTTGTCCCACAGATTTTGCCACTTACCCTTATATCTTCTCTTATTTCAAAATTCTAAAATTTCAGTTCTTGAAAGATAACAGCTTTCAACTCTATTTAACAACTGGGCTTCAGTTGCAGCTCTATCGGCCATATCATTACCCTTTGTGCCAATATGGCAGGTAACCTTATAAAACCTATTGTTCTGCTCAAAGTTTGAAGACTGTGGAGCAGACACTAGATTTCACTTATGATAGGATTTTCTGGATAGGAATTATATGGATACTTTGGAATGCACTCAGTGAGTCCGAACAGATCACAATGGTATCTTCCCTGCTTGAACATCCTACTTGTAGACCTTTAAGGATGGCTGTCAATTCAGCTGTAAAAATCGAACTTGATTTGTTCAATTTATCTCACTTGAAAAGTCATTAAATTCTCTACAAACTAATGCATTCTTTGGATACTGAAGCTATTACTTTTCCCCACTAACTGCCTCTATTACCATTGTGATTTTTTTTTTTTTTAAGACATTGTATTCACTTAAAAATGATTATAGGATGATACTATTTACAGGAGGAGAGTGGCTTGGGTTGTGGGAACGGTGCTCTAGTCAACGCTCCGCTCCTGAATGAGGACAAGAGGTGGCACTCATTGGAGACCGTCCCGCCGTCGGAGCCTTGCTCCAAGAAGGGTCTAGCTGGTTCTTCCCTTCGCTCCTGGCTTTTTGGCATCTTCAACAATAACACGTATCATCATCGCTCCAGCGACATGTCGTTGCGAAAGGCAGGCTACCAGGACCTGCAACCAGAGAGGGAGAGCATAGTCTGAATTCTTGATCAGATCTCATCAACTCAGCTTATCTTCTTATTGTCCCCTGCTACCTTTTTATCTTCACTTTATATTGTTATGATATTTTTATTTATTATTGAACCATTTAGTGTTAAATAATTGTGTCTAAAGTGAAAAGATTACTCTAGTGTCGGAACGAAGAACAAGTGCTGTGCAAAACGGACTTATATTTAAATTTTAATATATATACATAAATCTAGGATATATCTAATAAATTACAACTTACCTCTGTGTACATATTTCATAATGTGTATTTACTTTATATATTTATAAATCAAAATATATGTATATGTATGTTTATTTATATTCAATTGTATAAATAAATATTGTTAGTTAAGAAATTTGATTTAAATGTAAATATTATATTAATAGATTTATGAATATGAAACTAGAAGTTTTCATAAGCCATAATTTATTGTTTTAAAAATTTTAGTTACCTTATGGATGCAAGTTATATCTTTGTTGAGCCCCATTGTTGTTTTAAACAAATAACTAGATTCTGTTTTAATCATTGTATAATTTGTTTTTCCTCTTGTATATAAAGTGCAATAATTCATATCTATTACATATCATTTTCTTTTCTTTTTATTTATTTTTTTTTTAATGGAATAACTGATGTAATAACCATGTAGGCAAGAAACAGAATTTTATAAATATGAACCAATACCAAAGTTTAAAGCACAAGGTATCAAGTTCACTACATCTGTTTACTTTTACAAATATATATATATATATATATATATATATATATATATATATATACATATATACATACATATATATATATATATATATATATATATATATATATATATATATATATATATATATATATATATATATAAGCTCATTTCCCTCAATAACATATGTAACAGTTATTAAATGTAAACATATTCCAAAGGATGGCTTGCAGTCACTAAATCGATCGTAGGAATATGATAAATCAGACAATGTACTTTTTATTGTGTCTATATAAGTCTGTGTATATTGGAGTTTTTCTATTTGATATTTGTTTATATCTAGCGAGTTGCCATATTATAATATTGAAATTTTAGACGATTTTTTTGTATTATACCTTGTTATTTTAGTTATGTTAGCTTATTATCGTTATTTATGTCAAATGCTGTGTGTTTTATATGATGTATTTGGACAAGAAAATTTGTTGTTAATACTTAATGTGTTTATTATTCAGTTATATTTTACAAATTACTTTTGAAAAAAACAACATATATATATATATACTATAAAGCTGTGAGAAAATATTTAAATGTAAGAAATTTATTTGTTGGATGAGATAGATTATATAGGCAAGCCAAATAGAAAATGTATATTCTTATTTAAAATGTACAATAATTACTCTTACTAATTACTATTACTAATTCTTCAAAAATTGTGAAATTGCATATCAATTAAAATTAGATTAGTTTTATTGTTGAATAAAATTAATTAAAATAATGGCAACAGTACACAATGAAATAGATTAGGGGTGAGAGGAATTTGCAATTTTCCTAATAATAAATATAGATTTATATATCCTTAAAAAAAAATTGATAAATAGAAAGATAGCAATATTGTATCTTTTCCACACTAAAAATAATTACAATTTTTTCTTAGTGATAAAGAAGCGTCTAGGGGTATTACTTTTTAATACCACTTTAGTTGATTTTATAGTTTCTGATCTCTTTAACATTCAAATGTTTTTATAACTATTTGATAGTTTTTTAAAAGTGATGATATTATAATTGTTGTGAATTCAATATTTTCTATCACAACTAATGATTTTCGTTTAGGAGCCACGTACATAATAAGAATAATTAACTAAATTTAAAATGGAAGTTGCTATATTCCTCTTTCTGAGTTTATAAAATTTTAATAAAAAATCTTTTCTGATCTGAGCTTGGGATTCAAACAAGCTAGATTTAAAACTTTTATAATAGGTATTCCTTTTTAAAGTAAATTTTATATTAAACATCTTTTTATATTTTTAAATTTCATTTACTTTTTTATTATCCTATTGCTTAAATAATGTACCCAAAATTTATTTTCATTTAAAAGAAAATTTATACTTCAGAATAAAATGTCATTTTGAATAATAAGATAAAAAATATTTAATAATACTAACTCTCTTATGATTTATTGTATAAAGTTAGTTTAATCGACCAATTCCAAAAGAAATTATTGTGAATATTTGGAAGTAATGCTATACTTAAGTAATTGCATATACTTTTTTTTTAGTTTTAATTAATTCATGGAACAATTTAGAAATATGATTAATATATTTTAACACATTAATATCCCTTTTTATTTTTAATATATAATTTTAGTTGCTTAAGACTGAAGCCAATTTTAGACTACCTCAGCATTTTTTGATTTATTTAAAATAGAAGTTTTTTTTTCTCAGTTTATGTGTTATTAGTAAATTGCTTTTATCTTTAAAATTACAAACATTTTCTAGTCACTGTTTGTGGTAATTGGGTCTTCTTTAACATAATTTGGGATTGTTTTTTTTTTTTTTTGGGTGTCTTAATAAGTGTTAACGGATGTAATTTTGTATGGATGAGTGATCGTTGGTAAACTGGGGTTTCTTTTGCAATTAACCTTTATTCTGAATGAACATTTTTAATGAGTATAGTATTTTAATGTTTTGTGATATATTCATATTATGGTAGGAAATATGAGAGACTTAGTTGCATATTTTCTGAAAATAATGTTTGGCTCCTATAATCATCATTTTGATATCTTCTTATATTCACAGAATAATTTTCTAGTCACTGATGAACTTCAATGAAAATTCTGTATTTTTTAAAAATTACTTTTAAGTTGTTATTTTTGGTTTGTCTATAAAAATAATTGGTGCATAAATTTTCTTTCTATTGCTATCAAATTACTGAGGAAAAACAAATTAAAAGAGATTTTGCAAAGAATATGTTTACTATTTGGCTTCCTAATGTTTGCTACTGTTTTAAATTGCAATCATTTAATCTGCCTCCTTATTGGTGTGATGTTAAAAATTGTTCAATTGTTAAATGTTTATGTAAGCTATACCAAATAATGTGGAAATTGGGTTTTCAAAATCTTTATATATAAATTTATATAAAACACAAACCGCATTCAAATTATTAATGTTTTGTAAATTTTTGTTATTGTAGAGTGTTGAAGTTAATATTGTTAGACTACATAAGTTATTTCGTTGTAGTATACACTAGTAAGGTAGTATATACCTGTCTAAATTATGTATGAAGGCATTTCTTAACCAAATACCTAATGAATGTATATTTGAAGCTATGCTAATGGAAGGCTGTGAAACTAAATAAAATGTGAAATGAAACTTGGAACATTTTATTGATGTGTAATGCAGTACGGAATAAGATGCGATGATTGCTAATAATATATTAGTGTCCATTCTGAGCAGGGCTTACCTCGTACCTTGCCTGTTAATCTCAGCAGTTCTGGGTATTGTAAAGTAGTAGTAATAAAAATGTATTTTAATCGTTTTTTGTTGTCCTATTTTTCACAGTACGGGAGAGCATCAAATAAATAATATAGTATTTCATCATCATCAAAAAACACCGTATCATTGTAAATAAATATATATATTAGAATAGCATTGATTAGAGAAAAGTTAAGAAATTTGTCACAATATTATTGCTGATTATTTTTCAATTTTTTTAAACAATGTTAAATTTGAATTTTTCCAAGAATTTCCAAAATTTATTGAGTTCAGACTAATAAAGTGTTATGTTTTGCCCATTTAGAAGATATTACAAACAAAGTTAACACATTATTTCCTTTTATATTGTATTTTCCTATTAAATCTACCTGCTAGGATCTCCTATTAAATTTCATAAATTCACTATAGTATTGTACTAAATTCGATCTTCTGGCCTTGGATTAGAAATAAAATTGGAGGTAAAATTACTCAAATCAGTTTTAGTGCTCATTTCAAAATTTTTATTTTTCAGTTATGACAAAAAGCATCATTATAGTTATGCAAATTGTTATTAAATTTTAAAATGATTTTATTTATTCATTTTGAAAGTTGAGAAATTTTGAACAGTGGAATGATTTAACTAAACAGGTCAAGAAGAGATTTTGTCACAAAGCTCAGAAAAGTTGTTGAGAAGTTAAGGAAATTTAAAACATTAGACCATATTTAAAATATCTCTTAAGTAATCTTTAATAATCATCACATTTTTCTTTAACCATTCATAATTAATAAAAGCAATTCAATTAACAAAAAATAAAATGGAATCATCAATCTTTAACATTAATTCAAATGTTTTCTCAAATAATAGCATTGTATCTAAAAATGCACCCAAGACCCTTCATGGGTCGTAGTGATACAGGTTTTTTGTTTTTTTTTATCTAAAAATATACAGATAACTAATTTAATACAATATTTTTAATATCTTTAACTCAATTTGTTTCAAAACGTTCAAAGGATTTCACTGAGATTTGAATCATCAAACTTGTAATTCAGTTCAGCCATGAAATCAGTCAGATACTAAGTTCATTAACTATGGGTAAGTTCTGAGCTGATGAACATCAGAAATCCATCGGACCATTTCTAAAGTCATCAATGAGACCATAAATGGAATTCTGTGTTTCTTTATTCATGGATTGAATCACTAATAGCTCACCAGTTTCATCGGCTTTTGGGGTTGATGGATACACTGGATGTAAACACAGTGTTGTCATTTCTTTATTTGCCAGGGTTTGAAATCGATAATTAAATCAAACCTGTTCCAGAATTTTTAAAAATGATTGGATGATTTTTATTAAGAGCGATTTTTATTTTTCATCATAAGTGAAAAAAATCATATCCTGATCATTATTTTTCAACCAATTTTTGCAATTAACAATAATAATTTTTGAATAATACTTTTTGAAATCCAAGATATAAATTTTTTGTATTCTATGATATATTTTGAATCTGGAATAGTAGGTGGAAAATATTGTTGTCAACTATTTTATATACTAAATTAGCAATTGAACATGTTTATTTCTGAAATTCATTAGAAATTTTGGCATGCAAAAAAAACTACGGTGTGTGCTAAAGACCACATGATAGAAGAGAAAACAATGACATTGACAAGAGACTTAATAATATGAAATATTAATATTTTTCTGTTCTATATTCAACAGGTAAGAACATTTACAATATATAAAATTATAATTGTATACAAACTTTTTTACTTTCTCTTATCCATATATGTATTATATAGTAGGAGTAAATATTGCAATCGTGAA